GAATACTGCAGAACAAAAAGAGACTACTATCTGTAAGTTATAAACCTACAGTTATAAGTTTGAAAACCTTGACAAGATGAGCACTGTCCTAGAAAAATATCAAAATTTGCTCCATAACAAACAGAACATTTGAAATGTATAATCATTAAAGAAATACATGAATGTGTACTTAAAAGTCTATACACAAACCCTCAAAAACACACACGCACACAACACCAGGCTAGATGGTTTTACAAAATTCTACTACACAAATGGAAGGAACAGATGGTTCCAATTTCACACTCTTTCATAAAAAAGAAAAAGAAAGAACATCCTCAAGCTCCTTATGATGAGCCTAGTGTAACCTTAAAAAAAAAAAAAAACCTAAGGCAGGGCAGCGCCTGTGGCTCAAAGGAGTAGGGCACCGACCCCATATGCCGGAGGTGGCAGGTTCAAACCCAGCCCCAACCAAAAACTGCAAAAAAAAAAAAACAATAAAAAAAAAAACCTAAAGTAGACAGGGGCAATATGAGGAAGGAAGACTACAGACCAATCTTGCTTAGAGCATTGTTACAAAAATTCTGAACAAAATGTTAGCAAACTGTGCCTAGCATAGAATAACCAAAAAAAAAGATATAATCCTGATCCCAGATGGGCTTGTCCTAGGAATGAAGTTTATTAAATATTAGAAAAATTGACTCAGCACCTGTAGCTCAGAGGCTAAGGGCGCCAGCCACATACACTGGACCTGGTGGGTTCGAATCTAGGCCAGGCCCGCCAAACAACAATGACAACTGCAACAAAAAAATAGCCAGGCATGGTGACAGGTGCCTGTAGTCCCAGCTACATGGGAGGCTGAGGCAAGAGAATCACTTAAGCCCAAGAGTTGGAGGTTGCTGTGAGCTGTGACGTCACGGAACTCTCCCCAGGGCAACATAGTGAGACTCTGTCTCAAAAAAATAAAAAAAGGAAAAGAAAAAAGAAAACTTTATTCCTGTAGTTGACTATATTAACAAATTAAAAGAAAAATAATATGATTATCTCCACAGATGCAGAAAAAGCAATCAATAAAATTCAACACTTATTTGTGATTAAAAAAAAAAAAAAAAAAAAGCAGGCAGTGCCTGTGGCTCAAAGGAGTAGGGCACCGGCCCCATATGCCGGAGGTGGCAGGTTCAAACCCAGCCCTAGCCAAAAACTGCAAAAAAAAAAGCACTAAACTTGGAATAAAAGAAAACTTCCTAGCCTAATAAATAGTATCTGTCAAAACTCTACATCACCTATCATACTCAATAGTGAAATGTTAGGATTTCTGTCGAAATGAGGAAGGAGGCAAAGATGCCTGCCACAACTTCTAGTTACCGAGTGAAGGAAGACAAAGAAAAGAATAAAAGGAATAATGATTAGAGAAATAAAACTGCCATTATTTCCAGACAGTCTGATTGTGGATGCAAAAATCCCTAAAGAATCAAGAGGAAAAAACTATTAGAACAGAAGAAAAGGCTGAGGCAGACAGGAAGCCCAGGTGCCCTGACAGCAGACTGGGGAAGGCTACTCCCTTCTGTCCCATAGGCCTGTCCTGGCCACTCTCTATCCCACTTTCTTTCCAGGATCTTCTTCTCAATGACAGACCCAAACCCAATTGCAATTTTTGAGGCATGACCCTGGCCACCTTCACTTATGTGCTGTGGGGTTAGAAGTCTGCTGGGATGAGGGAACTGAGCCTTGCTCAGAGGGATTTGTGTTGCTAGTAATGCAGGGCAGACATCAGTGCGAGAGTTGGGCCTCAGGGCCAGGCCCTCTTGACTGTGCAGCTCTGCAGCAGCCATCAGAGGATTAGTGAGATGGGTGTGGGCAGAGAAAGCCTCAGAATGTGACTGCATCAGAGATTTTGTCTGGGTCTTGTTACAAGAGTGAGTTGGGCACTGACCCTGCAGGACCCACGCAGGCCCTCAAGGGCTCAGCCTTGGCAGGCAGTGAGTTCTCTTCTCTGCGACATTACCTAGAGATTCTGTGCTCACCTCTCCGTTGCCTGCCGGAGGGCTCCTCAGACAAGATGAGCCATCTGCCCCTCCTGTGAGAGTGCTGGAATGCAGGACACCAAAGCCCAGGTCACCAGCCTCTCTCAACCCTGTGCAATCTGCCAGGCTTGGCCCTTGTATCTTCTCCATTCTCCTTGCACACACGGCACACACATCCTCTGCTGGCCTCTCTGTATCAGTGGGTGGTTAACAAGCTTTTCATTCCTGTCAGATCCAATCAGCCCTTGTTACTTTACTAAGCAGCAGCCCTTGTTACTTTCCCCTCAGGGAAGCCACGTAGGCTCAGTCATCGGGTGCCGGACAAGTGAGGACCAAGGAGGAAGGGACCCAGTCCTCACCTGCCTCTGAACCAGAAGAAAAGGATGGGTGCAGGGTCAGCGAGGGCCCTGGAGGGGTCACAGGTGCTGAGGGTGTGGGAGGAAGACAAAAGGCCGGATAGGAAGAGCTCCAATGAGTCGTCCCTCTCATAAGGCCCTCTCATGAGGCCTTGGTGCTTCCCATATGGGTCACTCTATTGGGCTACTTACACATCCACATGAACAGCTTAACTTTGGAGGTCCCTCTGCCATGGAAGATAGGGGGGCTGCTGTGGCCTAACACTTTAGAGCTGACTTTGAAATTAAAATTAGCCACTACCCTTCTTTAGGAAAGAGAAGAGTCTGAATGGTAGAAGGACTTGATCCAGGATTAGTAAATAGCACCACAGGATCTACAGAGTGTGAGGTCCACAATGATCAGGCTGGAGCTGGAACCCCTGATACCACTGCCCTCAGCTTCCCTCCTGTTCTAGCAAGGGTTCTAGTTCCCTCCCCTGGGCAAAAGTTCTCACTGTCCACCCTAGGGCAGGGTTACCAATCAAATGCCTTCAGACATGAATTGTGGAAAAGTCAGGTGTGAGTAATAGGGAGCAGTGGAGCCTTTGGCAAATCGAAGAGCGCCCAAGGCATTTGCTTCAAAAACAATTTTTTTAATGCCATACCATCCAAATAAACCATAGCTGCCAGATTTGGCCTCTCATCACCAGCCTGAAACTCAAACAGCCCAAAGAGGAGATGAAAGCACTCCCCAAAGTGTGGCCCCACAACTGCTCTTATTTATTTATTTATTTAATTTTTTTTTTCTCACTCTGTCACCCTGGGTAGAGTGCTGGGACATGATAGCTCATAGCAACCTCAAACTCTTGGGCTTAAGTGATTCTCTTCCCTCAGTCTCCTCTGTGTCTGGGACTACAGGCGCCAACCACAAAAACCAGCTAGTTTTTCTATTTTTAGTAGGAATGGTCTGGTTCTTGGCTCAGGCTGGTCTTGAACTTCTGAGCCAGGCAACCCACCCGCCTCCGCCTCCCAAAGTATTAGGATTACAGGTGTGAGCACTACGTCTGGCCTGCCCATCTGCTCTTCAAGCACGCACACACCTCTGCAGAGTACTTTGGGCACTTGCTCCTTGCTCATGCTGCAGAGCCAATAAAAGTGGGTCGCCATGGCTGGGCGCCCGTAGTTCAGTGGTTAGGACGCCCATAACATGCACCAGTGGGTTTGAACCCTGCCTGGGCCTGCTAAGCAAACAACAACAACAACAACAAACACAATAGCCTGGCGTTGTCGCAGATGCCTGTAGTTCCAGCTACCAGGGAGGCTTAGGCAAGAGAATCGCTTGAGCCCAAGAGTTTGAGGTTGCTGTGAGCTATGATGCCAGGGCGACAAAATGAGACTTTGTCTCAATTAAAAAAAAAAAAAAAAAAGAGTGGGTCCCCAGGACATGCGATATCAGCTTGAAGCCCCTTTCCCTCCAGTTCCTCCAGTTCCAGCCCGCCCCCACCGTCCCTCCGAAGGGAATGGAAGAGCGCGGAGCCGCTCCGCGGTCTGCCCCACACCCGCCAGGGCAGCCTTCCCCCGTGGGCCGTGCGCTTGAGCCGGGGGTCTGCAGCAGCTGAGAGGCCCCTACAGTTGCTGCGAGGCCAGAGGGTATGGGGGAGGGGGGCAGGCGTCCAGGGAAGCGGAGCGACTCGGCGCGTGCCCACCAAGAAGCAGAGCTGCCCGGGCGGTCTGCGCCACGCTGCATGGCAGGGCGACAGGGCAGGGGCTCGAGGAGCTCCTTGCTGAGATGCCTGCTAGCTACCAAGCCCAGTGCCTTCCCGCAGCGGGAGGGAGGAAGCGGCAGGAAGCGCAAGGGGCTTCTCTAGAAGGCGGGAGCCAGCAGCGAGGGAGCCTGCTCAGCCCTCCACGGCCCGGTGCGGCGCGGGCGGCACGGCTCCCTTCTGCCACCAGGAGGCAGCAGAGAGCACCGTACCGGGTGTGACTTTTCCTTCCAGACCGGGTCTCCTAACGACAGCATCTGCCTGAAGTCATTTCTCTCCATTCCTTTACCTTGGCCATTCTTCCTTCCCCACTAGCTAGTCCAAAAAGAGTGAGCACAAGTGCCCACAGCAGTCCACGGAGAGACAGGAGGGAGTGTCCAGAAGCCGGGGGTGAGGACATCTGTTGTGCCAAGTGTGCCACAGACTAGTCCTTACCAGCCCAGAGCACCTACAGATCTGAGTGGAGACTAGTGGGTGCTGTGAGAACAGCCTGGGGCTGTCGGGGGATTGAACTTAGCCTGGCCAGAGCATGCATTTTCACTCTAGACACTGGACAGTGGCTCTGAGTAACATCTATCCCCATATCATCCCCACACAAGGGTTTCCCTGCCCCAGGAAACTTGTCTTGAAATGTCCACCTGGCCCCACTCCCTCTCCTCCCCTTCTGAGCACAAGAACATTGAACCTTTCCAAGCCCTGCCTTCTTCTTTAGAGAGGCTCCCCGGCCAGGGAAGGACCTGGTAGGATTTGTCAGGGACATGGGGAGAAGAGCTGATGAGAAAGGGGGAACCATATGTGGCAGCAAAGAAGAGCACTCCTTTCAGCTCTCCTGGGCTGCATGGCTTCCCCCGGGCCAGAGGGAATGGGACGTAGCAAGAACAAACGGGTCCAGAGAAGACATATGGTCGGATGACTGTAGGCTTGTGGAGAAGATACAGAAGTGGGGTGGCAGTCTGGGTAGAGCTGCTTACCCCTTCATAGAGGGTCCTCTTTCCCTCCCACCCCCAACACATGTAACTCAACAGGAATGGGCCACCGCAAAAGAGACGAGCTCGCAGCAAGAGGCAGACCATACATGCTTATTCACTGTAGCAGGGGGCGTCTAAGGGAAGAACACTGGCCTGAGCACAAAGAGACCAGGCTTTAGTCATCTCTCTGGCCCCAAAAAGCCATGTGAACTTGAAAAAGTCACCTTGTCACTCTGATCCTGAACTTTCTCATCCATGAAGTCAGGGGTTTGGGTTAGAAGCAGGTTGACAAATGGAGCTGACTAGAGCACTGTTTGGAAGGATTATAAGCTGGGCAAGAATCTGTGATCAGTTAACGTCTGCCTTGGGCAGAGGAACAGTGCCATGTATTTGTAAAGTCTAGGAATCATCTCCTGAGTTCTTTCCGTCCCAGTGCTCCATGAGTTGATGATGACAATGCAAAAAGAATGTGGAACTAGGGCTGGAGCTAGGGACACCATGAGAGACTGCCTCCAAGAACACTCCAGATGAGGGCATGTGAAGCCTTGCCCCCTGGCTGCTTCTCTAGTTCCCTCCCCATGGAACCTTCAGCATGTTAAGCCTGCCTCTAATGGAACTCAGAATCCATCATAGTGTGTTCAGTTGTCACTTCCAATGTGGTGGGTTCCATCATGCTCTCTGAACCAGATCGCAGTGTGAATTCCATTATAGCCACTCTCCCAATGTGCAAATACATTAATTGTAAGCTCCAGAGGGAAATATCCCCACAGTGGAATTCCTTTGCAATGCAAATAATCAGATGGTGGACTCCAAAATGACCATCCTCCTTTATAAATAAGGTGTTATATTCCGACAGGGAGTTGGTGCCTAGCATGGCATGTTCCAGTGGTGCTACCCTGAGCCCACCAGGAGAAGCTGCGCCAGCTCTGGAGAGTGGCCTCCAGTTGAGGGTGCCCATGGTTCCCCCAGAGGTTCTCAGCAGGACTGTGGTAGGAGACAAAGGCAGAGGCTGTCCACGGTGTGGAAGGTGGCCCTGACTTGGGTTCCTGCATCAGGAGCCACCTGGTCTCCGGCCATATCCTACAAATGGGTCTCCTTCTCCCCAGCCATCAGTCTCTTCTTTGTAGGGGAGGGCCTGAAGTCCTGGCTAGTGCCACCATCTAGGTAGAGACGTAGCCTGGGCTGTGGCAGGCTGGAGTCAGGGGTGATGAGCTGTCGCAGGCGCTGTAGAGAGAAGATGTGGTAGGTAATTCTTATGTGAGCATCCCAGGACCCAGCACATGGCTAGGCCCACAGGGCAGCTCATACAATCTGCATAAATGAACAATAATTTGAGATGAGAGAAGAGGTAAGAACATGGTAGTTAAGAGTGTGAACTGCCTGGATTCATTTCTGGCCCTGCTACAAACTACTTGTATAGGCTTAGAGGCCTCTCATCTAACCTCTCTGTTAATTTAATCCCTTCAATTTCCTTATCTGTAATATGAAGATAATAAAATACACCTAACAGAACAGGGCCTGACACAGGGTAAGTGATCAATAAGTGTCTAGTCTTGTTACTGTCATTATTTAGAACTATCATTATATGCTCAATAAGCATAATTTTTCTTATTAGTAGTATTATTACTATTGTTATTGGCACCCTCTCCTTCCCCCTTCTTGTATCATGACAGCCTTAATAGGATGATGAAAAGACAATATGCTCAGGATGGAAGTGCAGAAATACAAGAATCTGGTCTCAAACGGCCTCTTTAAGCCACCAGATCAAATGCCAGCAGCCCCTTAAATATATTTTTTAAAATACCTATTTGCTAAAACTGTTGTAGGTTGTGTTTTCTATTCCTTGTAGGAAAGATAGATTTCTACCTTTGTGAGCCATTGGCCATAGCTCCTTCCAGGAGGTCATGTACCAAATTCTAAACAGGGAGCCTTTGGTATGTGTTCCCAGGCAGGGTTAAGATAAGAAGAGAGGCCAGGAGTCTGTGGATAGAGTGAACCATGGTAGCTGCTTCTATTTTCCAAGAGCAAGGAATCTATGTTCTGGGTACCTCCATGTTCTCATATGTGGCTTAGTTTTCCCCTTAATCCTTTGGCAGTTTGCCCCTGGTTAGCCTGCCCAGATGATGGATTCTAAGACTTTTAAGAATATTTCTGAAAAGCCACTAGTGTGGTCTTCAAAGTTCCTCTCTTTAAGATTCCATGAACCCCAAGAGCTGCCCCACACTCCAAGTATATGTTTGCTCCCTGGGCCCCACCGTGTGTCCTGCCCTAAGTCCAGCCTCTCCCAGGTCCCTTAATGGGTCACTTTCACCAACCACCTACCTTCTTGAAGGAACCCTGGGTCCTCAGGAGGGTGATGATGATGAAGAGTGGGACGCAGACCATGGAGGAGAGAGCCAGGAACCAGCCGATATAGTACCCCCAGGGAGGGTATACATAGATGTTGTTGTATTTGAGAGGGGTGTATTTGCTCAAGGAGAAGAAGAAAGTGGCCTGGGAAGAGGAGAGGCCAGCTGCAGATGAGACAGAGGGCCACCACAACTCTCTCCCCAGCCACTTACAGCCAAGGGCAGAGAACTAGTCAGAGCCCCTGTGAGATGGGAGAGTAAAAGCCACTGCACGCCACAGGCCAAGCCATCACACACTTCACAGCCTGAGACAAGAGATGTCAAGGAAGGAGGGGTGGAGGAGCCAAAGTTCAGACAGACAGCATCACTGGATGGGCAGAGGGCAAGAGGCACTGGCAGAAAGGGATGGAGCCAGAAGTAAAATAAGATTCCACTAACGGGCAGATGAGATGGCCCCAGAAGAGAAGGGCAAGGAACCGACACATGAGAGTGAGTGGACAGGGCTCCCTAGGGTGACCAGACAGGCAGGGAAAGAGCCCCAGAAATCAGACATCCTTTCCCTTATCTCTGGAGTCTTCTGGGGAAAGGAGGGAAGAGGGAGCCACATACCAGGCAAAGTCCAGGGGTCAGGAAGAGCCAGGAGATCTTCACCAGGGGCCATGGCCGGTAGCCAATCATGTCCTCGATGTTGTCGTAGAAACGGTTCGCCCCTGACCAGACACAGTGGGAGACAGTATGAAGATCAAGGGTGGGAACAGCTTAGTGGGTAATCTGGCTCTGTGCTCCTCTCCCACCCCCACCCTAGGGGAAAAGTGGAGCAGGCACTTGAATGAGGTGCACCTTGGCACCCCAGTTTCAGAGCAGGGAGTGAGGAGAGGGCAGGTGCTGCCCCCAACAAGCTGCTGGTGCAGTATCTGTCACCCTGCTTGATAATGAAGAGCCCTGCTGTCCTGAGCACCACGCAGTGGTGTGAGACTCCAATGGGGCTCAGAGGCTATACAAATACTTGTGTACCTTGCAGAGAGATGAACTTGCTGCAAGCCCAAACAACAGAACAGCAAGGGCCTCGCTGCGCAAGCCTACTGCAAGAAACTTGCATAGGGCTGGAAAGCTCCTGGGCCCAGAACCAGTGGTCTAGATTCTAGGCTCCAGAGAAACCACTTATGAGTTGCCAAAAAAGCATGGTAAGAAAATTGATTTGTGGTTAGAGAAAACACTGACTGGTTTTGTGTCATTTAATGTCCTTACGTTTCCACATTTGCTGTAGTTCTAGGCAGGGCCAGCTTCTAAGACATAAGCACCACTAACTGGTAAAGATACCTGGA